TGAAGTATAAATTATACTTATAATTATATTTATAATTAAAAGTATAAATTATACTTATGTACACGAAAAATATATTAATATTAAAACATGTATAGAATCTGAGAAACGTTTTAGATACTGAATTCTTGTACCGGAATCTAGTGACATAGTCGAGATATATGTATTTCCACTTCGTCTGTGCTAAAGATATGCAATTGACAACATTGTATAGGATATCATTTTCGTGAACCAACTTTTCGTATACCAATTGTATTTTCTTTGACATAGTTCTGTAATTCACCATTGTTTACGCGTAGAGGACGCTCAAAATCAAGTGACTTTTTTCCTGGTCGGTATTTCAGACGCAAAACTTCATTTGCTGTCCGATATATGCAAGTTAGTGAGTAGTGCTGTTAAATGCAATATAACTGTCTGAAATATTTTTTTGTGTCCGTGTATGATATTTATGGAATATCGCACAGGTACTTAAAATAGATATATTGTGTGTATATCACCGATCTATTTGCTGAAAGGATAAATCTTTAATTGATATTGCGATGTTTGATTTGTATCGAATTCAAGTTATTTATAAATTTTCAGATAAGTACCATAATAATTTCGACACAATTCTCAAATCAATTTCTAGTATAACGTTATAATTTATATTAGAGATTTTCTTCTGTAAACTTGTATATAAAAGAAATACAACTACAGATATATATATATATATGGGAAAGCATTTTGGACGAGGTTGTTCAATGAAAAACATACTTGTAATAAATGCATACCAAGTATTTCTGAATTTTTAATCTGATACCATCCATGTCCCGATAGCGACACGATAATTTGAGATATAAGTGAATAAAAGAGAAGGGATGACAAATACAAAATTTCAGTTTGGAGTATTTACTAGTTATCGAGATATTAACAATAATTACGGTATGATACAATGAATTCTATATTGCGTACATTTTTGTAATGAAAGAAGGAAAACAAAAGGAAATTTGTGATCATTCATATTTTTAGTAAAACAAAAGCGAGCATTAAGCGTAAATCACTTGTACAAAGTAATAATTATTATTATTTACTTCCTGTAACATTCCATAAGATTTAGAACGTTGTTGTACACCAAAGTATTCGCGTGTTTTCTCCACAGGAAATCAAAATACACAAAAGACTTGCATGGCACCAAAAATTTTTGAGTATTGAGCAATATTACAACTATTGGACGTCGAAAACAATTGTCAGAAAACAAAAAATTGAAAAATTCAGGACCAGTTGAAGGTTCGCAATTAACGCTGTACGAATCTGAACATAGGTAACTATTAGGCTGTAGTAAATTTCTAGGCTGCGAAAAGAGAGAACGTGAGAAAAATTTTATAACATATTATTGACATTTTATGTGTGATTATTGTATATTAAACTGAATTCAACAGCTGTTTAAAATGAATAGCTTAACAAACGCACCAGCAGTATCATACTGCAAGATAAGAGGCAAGAGAAATCGTTGAAATAGAATCAAGTTCAATTGATAATTAATACAATTAAA